AATGTCACAAATTTGAAGCGCGAAATTAATTAGAATATCGTTTCTATTATTATTATTATTATTAATATTATTAATTATTATTATTATTTTTATTATTATTATTGTTGTTATTATTATTGTTGTTATTATTATTGTTATTATCATTATCATTATTATTATTATTATTATCATCATCATCATCATTACCATTATTATTATTGTTGTTGTAGTTGTTGTTCTTTTTATTGTTGCTATTGTTGTTGCTATCGTTGTTTGTATTGTTGTTGTCGTCGTCATCATTGTTATTAAAAGTATTATTATTATTATTATTATTATTATTATTATTATTATTATTATTATTATTATTATTATTATTATTATCGATGACGTTAAAATTATTGGCAACAATGTTGACGTTGTTAATTAATCTATGCGTAGGGAGAGTTGTTTTAATTTGTTGTTGGTTGTTCAATGTAGGTTTTTGCATTTCTATTAGAATGGCTTCAGCGAGTTTAAGATTTTGATATTGTTGGGTACTATAGATGATGGTTGTGTTGTCATTTAGTATACCTCTGGTGATTGTTGTGTTGTGTTTGTCAAGGAGATGGGTTTTAATGGCACCTTCTCTCTTATGCATCGTCAATCTCCGTGATAAATCCGTGGTAGTCATGCCGATATATGATGATTTTAGACGCATACAATCGTCAACTGGACAGGAAAATTTATATATGACATGACTACGTTTCAGTTGCGATTCAACACGTGGTGTGCAATTATTTATATGAGGTTTGATGTTTTAGTGTTTTTATAAAAAATCCTTAGTTTGATTTTATCATTAGGATCTGTAGGAATTATATTATTTTTTATTATTTTCTTCATTATCAATTCATCGATTTTATAAGAGGAAGACATGAAATTACGGTAGTACAGTATTATATCCTTCTTTTTGTTGTTATTATTGTCATTATTAGTGTTGTTGTTATGGGTGTCGACATTGTTATTTTCGTTGCTATTATTTTCAGGGTTATTACAGATGCCGTTGATGTTGTTGTTTCTATCATTGTTGTTGTTATTGTTATTGAATTTATTGTTAACCTGAATAATGACTTTTTCAATCTGATTTAGGTTGTAGTTATTGTTAACAAGTAATTTAGTAACACGTTTGATTTCCGATTGAGCATGTTCAACTGTTGTCGAGTGTGTAAATGCGCGATTGATGAATGATCTAATTGTGCTGATTTTATAATCTTCAGTGCACTCACTTATTCCACTTTTTTTGAACAACTGTATAGAACTTGGTCTTCTTCCTAATATATATATATATGCGCGATTGATGAATGATCTAATTGTGCTGATTTTATAATCTTCAGTGCACTCACTTATTCCACTTTTTTTGAACAACTGTATAGAACTTGGTCTTCTTCCTAATATATATATATATATATATGTTGGTAATAGACCATAATTTTTACAATATTGTATAAATTCTACCGAATGTTTGACGTTAATATGTTTGTAGTTCGTTTTTTTTATTTTTCTCACTAAAGTTTTTTGGAGAACGTTTAGTTTATTAAAATTCAAAATGAACTTATTTTCCGAATTCATGCAGCAAATAAGGCCATATTTTGCTTTCGAATGAATCATTATCAGTGCAAGTTGATTTATATAAAGAAATATTTACTTTGTGAAAATGAACTTAGATTGAAGTTAGGTGTCAGATTTCTTTATTGTCTGGTCCTTCTTCGTTGGTTTCCTTTTCTTCATCGATAGCATCATAATCTTCTTTGTCATTATTTACAATGCAATTCATTGTTGATTAAGCGCCGAGTCTTAAAATTGCCGAAGCAGTCGTAATTGACATCAATAAGTAGATGTCAATTACAAAAAAAATAAAATTGCATAACTTTTTTCTTGAAAAACGATTCATTTTTTTCCCAAAAGTAGGAGAGGTCAAATGGCCAAATTCAGTTCCATATTTGAGCTAGAATCGTTTAAATGTCCGTTCTTTTATATAAAAAAAATCAAAACTTTGGCGCTGCCTGAACTGTCTGTCATCTTTCCATCCTTACAGAAACTTTACTTCTGGAAAATATTCTGACGGCGTCGTCCAACTTCGCCAGCTTTTGTTCCAAGTCCTCCCTCAGTTTTTGCAACTTCATTGTGTCGTTCCTCAGCGGCAGGTGCGACAGTTGCTTGACGATGTCTTCTCTCTTTTTGGTGGTCTGTTGGAGTGTAGAGATGCCATCATCTTCGGACATCAGCCTTTGACCAGCAGGAATTAATTTCTCTTCATTTATCCTCCTCCTTGTCTCTTCAGCTTGTCGCCATTCTTCTTTTCTTTCTATCAAATATTGAGGTATTTGCCTTGTTTGATGACTGACACGTGTGCAACTTCTGCTTGAATCTTTCAAATTAGGAGTACTTGGGCACCTCCTCACAGTATTTCTGGCAGCACATCCATTCAGTTTTATAAAGTCAACGTTGCTTTTAGCACTGCTGAGATTTAAATTCATGCCACTGTCAGATTTAGATAGAGGTCTTGATGAAAAAACTCTTGAATTTTTATTATCTCCTGTTGAACTAGGAAAATTAACTTCTAAATATTCTCTTAGTTTGGATTCTACATTGTCATATTTACATGATTTCCACATAGCTTTTACCGGCATTTTTGATTCGTTTATCAGTTTATTTTCTCTTTGAATGAAAAAAAATGACAACCTCACTCCCAACTCGGCGCTTAAACAACAATGAAAATAAAGAAATAATAAAAACTAGCATTGTAAATAATGACAAAGAAGAATATGATGCTATCGATGAAGAAAAAGAAATCAACGAAGATGTACCAGCCAATGAAGAAATCTGACACCTAATTTCCATCTAAGTTCATTTTCACAAAGTAAATATTTCCCTATATAAATCAACTTGCACTGATGGTGATGATAAGTTTATTTTGAATTTTAATAAACTAAACGTTCTCCAAAAAACTTTAGTGAGAAAAATTGAAAAAACGAACTACAAACATATTAACGCCAAACATTCGGTAGAATTTATAGAATATTGTAAATATATATACACACACATATATATATACGAAATATATATATATCATATATGTGTGTGTATACCATGTCTGTGTGTGTGATTTTTGTGTGTGTATATATGTGTGTATACAACATACGTGTGTGTATACCATATCTGTGTATGTGTGTGTGTTTGCCTAGTCCTGTTTTAGAATTAATAGTGTTTAGCTTAATATTACGACGATTTCATTTAAATGTGTTAAAAAATCAAAAACAATATATAATTTCTATTAAATTAAATTTGAATTACTCTGATTGGTTGCATATTCAAAAATTTATATTTGCTTAATTTTTATTAATTTTTTTTCACTTCAGTTGTTTTCATTATGGATCCCAATTCTTAGATCATATCACAGTCAAGTTAGCTTTGTAATACTTTCATTTTGTACATAAAAGTGTTTGTGAGTGTATTAAGTTATATATCAAATTATAGATTTTTTGTAAGTTTACTGGAAAATATTTAATGCAACAACTTCCCACTAATGCAAACTTATTTAAATGGGGTAAGTCAACAACATTTCTATGTCCACTATGCAGTAATCGCCAAACAAATAAACATGTTGTTTCGAACTGTGATTCCACAGCGGCTCTCGCAAGGTACACGGACAGGCATAACAAACTGCTGTTGATGTTTGTCAACTGGTTAAAGATTTGTGCATCATCAGACTGTTGCATATTTTCCAATCTTAATGCAGAAAATGTACGTCCAATATCACAGTTGTTCGACAAGTAGCGGCCGGACATTGCCATTTTCCAAAAAAACAAAATAGAATTTTTAGAGCTTACAATTTGCCACGAAACCAACCTAGCTTCCTCACGTGAATACAAACGCAAGAAATATAAAAACTTGAAATTAAATTTAAATTCAGTCTATAATAACTGTTCGTTAATTATTAATTCATTTGAAATATCACCTGTGGGTTTTTATAACAATTTTAATCTAACTAATCTAACGCCAGAAATATAAAAACTTTTCGCTAATTATTAACTCATTTGAAATAACATTTTTTATAACAATTTTAATCTTACTTTGTTTAAAATTTTATGGCCGAAATCTTTTAATGAAAAATTGGTTAACGCGGTAATTAGCTCGTCATATAGCATATATTGTAAAGGAAACACTACTTAACCGATTTTAAATATATCTTTTTTACTCTCAAGCACTTGTTTATCAAAGAGCATGAGAGGATCGTACATTATATTTTATTTATTTACACTCTAATATATAATTAATAATTTTCGATGAATTCCATTTGGATTTTGTTTTTCGGTAAATAAAAGAATGTTCCCATTATTATTAATGTTCATTTATATAGCGCTAATTAAATAAAAAATCTCAAAAGCCTTCACATGAATAAAACAGTACGAGTGAAAGATTAAAGAAAAATACTAAATGTTAAACCAATGAAAATAAATGCGTTTTCAATTTTTTGGTCTGCGTAATGGTCTAATGGTTATGGTCGCCTGGTGCTGTTTTGCAGTAACCGAGTTTGAATATGACAAAAAGATCCCCGCCTATCACATGCCTCGTGTGTGATGCGTCGTTTAGTATGTATTCATATACGATGTTCATTCATTTTGTTTAATTCTATAAACTTTGAATGAGTGTAGTGGACCTTTTTTTAACCTTTTATTTTTAAAATTGTTCAAAGAATTTTTAGGTCTTCTTAGCAACTCCAGCAGAAAGTTCCAAACCATCGGGCCAGCAACAGCAATGTCACCCATTCTTATTTGTAAACGATTATCTGGCACCATCTAAAGGTTCGCATCGTCTGATCTCAAACTGTAATTTGACGTGGATGTTTTCCTGACAAATCTACTAAACAAATATTTCGAAGCCAAACTATTTAATGATTTGAAAACTATGACCGCTATTTTTAAGATTATCCTTTTAAAGATTGTCAGCCAGTGGAGATCATTCAAAATCGGCGTAACGTGATCAAACTTCAGCCCGCCTAGTTTCAATAGTTTAGTTGCACGATTTTGGATTGACTGTAGAGCTGCTACTGACGTCTGGGGTAGCCTGTAGAATTAGCTGTTGCAGTAGTCGAGACGGGATGTTATGAGAGCGTGTACTAATGTTTCCATACTACTTCTGTCTAAATAACGTCTGACTCCTGAGATGGGCCATACTAGCAACTTATACGTTCTTTATGTGTTCTTTCATTGTGAGTTTAAAATCAACCAAAACTCCTAAATTTGATGCAGTTGTGCTGAACATTATATCAATGTTGTTTACTTTCACCGAGTGCATATCTAGCTTTGTCATCTGCTGCCAAGTGCCAACCGGAAGCAACTGAGTTTTGCGCTGATTCAACTTGAGCAAATAGCTGGACATTCAGCGTTCAACATCGATCAAACATTTTGACAAATCTATCAATTTTTCTCTGAAACACACTCTAACAATCATCAGAACATCATCAGCGAACGCGTGGCAGATGAATCCATGTGAATTAATCATCCTGGCTATGTCCGATGTGTATAGTAAGAACAAAATGGGTCCCAACACTGAACCTTGAGGTACTCCAGACGAAACAAAATTTATTTCGGATTAAGTGTCTATAAACAGAACCTGCTGGGTACGACCCAGTAAGTTAGACTGGAACCACGCATGTCGAATGAAATCGCTTTTAGCCTGACTGGTGAATTGGTATGAGGCCGTTTTTTGTTAAATGAGTCAGCAGACTCTCAGCGACAACTCATTTTATAATCTTTGAGATAAATGAAAGATTCGAAATTTGCCTGTAGTTAGAAATATCATTATCTTCCAAATTGTTTTTTTTTAAATTGGTTGGATCACAGCATGCTTTAGACCAGCAGGAAATTATCCAGAACCCAAGCACATATTAACAAAAGTGATGAGGAAACTGATGAACAAATTGATATGTTTTTTTACTAATGCACGTTGGAATTGTATCAAGGACACTTGTTTTTGATGGCGCACCAAGTAATATCAATCTCCGTAATTTTGGGAAAAGATGAAAGACAATTGATTTTTGACCTATTATCATCAGATTTTTGACCTATTGTCATCAAATGAAGGATCATAATTAGCTTCTGTAGTTTGAGTAATTTTATTTATTTTATCTGCAAAAAACCGTATGAATTGGGAACATGTTAGGTTTAAATCAACATCAAATTTGAGTTTATTTTTGTTTCTACGAAGGATCTTGCTTGCCGCTTGGCAAAAGTTTTTAGAGTTGTTGATGGTCTTAAATTGGTTTTTTAAAAATTGTGTGCGCTTTTCAGAAAAAGGGTATTTTTTTGCTTTAATGAAATTCTCCAGTTAATGAAATCCTCTACTCATTATAGCTATGGCTTTCCTGTTGGTATTTGCACCACTCGCTACTTTCCCACTTCTCTCCGGACTTTGAATAAAAAATCCCTTTTGCCATCAGCATTTTCTTTCCGGGCCTCCTCGAAGACGGTTTTTAATTTGATTCTCTGCTCTCTGGTAAGATCACAACTCAACCTTATTTGAGCTAGGTCATCACCAACTGCCTTCAGTTTATACATATTTTTAAACAATAAATCCTTGATCGTTAAATCATCAAACTTTATCATGATTGGTCTGACAAAATTTTTGTCCTTCTTCCCAATTTTTATTTATTTGATGACATTTTCGTTTTTAATAACATTGTCAGAAAGATGGTTTAGGATTTTGAAAACATTTATCCTGTCAGCCTCACTCTTCTTCAGTCGGAATATCATCACATCAAATGTGGCCTAAAATAAATTATTTGCAGCATGAATTTGGAAAATAAGTTTATTTTGAATTTTAATAAACTAAACATTCTCCAAAAAACATTAGTGAGAAAAATCGAAAAAACGAACTACGAGCATATTAACGCCAAACATTCGGTAGAATATATTATAAATATATTTACAATATTCTATAAATTCTACCGAATGTTTGACGTTAATATGTTTGTAGTTCGTTTTTTCGATTTTTCTCACTAAAGTTTTTTGGTATATATATATATATATATATATATAAATATATATAAATATATAAATATTTATATATATATATTTATATATATATATAAATATATAAATATTGTAAATATATATATATATATATTTACAATATTCCATAAATTCTACCGAATGTTTGGCGTTAATATGTTTG